TATACGATAGATGGAGTAGATGAAAGCATAGAGTTGATAGTTCCGTTAGAGTACGGCAGTGTGGAGATTGCATATAGATATTAGAATAGCGAGCTAGAACAACTTTTAAGGAAGGTACAAATCGGTTTTTCATCTCTCTTTACCAAACTCCCCCTTTGGAGAGGGATGGTGGGGGGTGTCCCCCCCGCCACCACTGGCAAAAAGAGATGAAAACCGACCCGCTCAAGTACCAACTGTGTGTTTGAAACAGTTCTACCGATTTTTACCGCACTTCAGTTGTTATTTGAAGGAAGACATCCAGTCGTAGGTTTGGAAATTGCAACTATTGTTTACCCCTACCACGATATGTGGACACCCCTCACCATCCCTCTCCAAAGGGGGAGTTTGGTAAATAGAGATGAAAAAACCGATTTGTACCTTCCTTAAAAGTTGTCCTAGCTCGCTATTCTAATATCTATATGCAATCTCCACACTGCCGTACTCTAACGGAACTATCAACTCTATGCTTTCATCTACTCCATCTATCGTATAAAAATTACCACTACAGTCTGTTATTTGAAATTAGCATCTTCAGCTATGTAAATCGTTGACTTCACGTAGAAGTAATACTAAAACATATAGTCAAAGTAAAATTTCCATTTTCTGTGTGAAATTTGAAAGATATGGAATGAAATTTACTTCGTAAGTATTTGGATCCATAAGTTTTGTAAAATAAAACTTCACCTAAAGTTACATTTTCCCAAATTCACATTGAACAATCATGACTGATTTTCTCAGAATTTGGTTGGCCAAATTTTGAAATTAAAGTGGTAGTAGCACCCTTATTGTATACCAATCAAGCACCGTTCATGATTTTTTTATTTTGAAAATATTTTAAATAATTAAAATAGTTAATTATATATAATTAATATAATTATAAATATGTCATCGCTCACAAGTTTGGAGTCACCATAAAAAAACTGAATACCTCGTACTTTGATAATTTATAACTCATTGTAGGAATGACGTTGTATAGAGAAATGATAAGAAAATTATTTCATCAATACATTCAAATAGCAATCTATCTATCTGAAAAATGTTTTCAACGGCATTTATCACAGTGGAGGAAAATCGAAAGAAAAATCAGGAAAATCCTTCGCCAGGTTTATGAAAATTTTCTTATGGTTTAATACATCCTTGAATACTTCTTATCTTTCAGTGGTAATACTAACGACCGGCCATAGGATCTCTAAGAAAACTATCATTTTCTTGTTTAATGATTTTCTTAAAATGGCCCATAATCGTCCATTAATTTTTCCGATAATTACTTTAAAACGGTAAAATATACCAGAAATTTGCAGCAGTAAAAGATAAGAAGTAATGTACACCGGGGCAAGTTGAAACGGTATTTTGAAACTTGAACTTTAAGCCTCTCTGGAACAGTAATTAATTTAGATACACCAGATGTTTTTACACCAACAGTTTCATGAAAGAGTTTTCCAGAAGCATATTTGTTAAGCAATTAATAATAGTGTGTATTATTTCATGTTACCCCATATAGTGGGGTTAGTTGAAACACTTATTATACAGCAGTTTATCGATGAAAATTGTAAAAAAAAATCCTTAAAACACGTTTATTCATGTATAAAATAACCCTTTGCGGATATTATAAACCCCTGGCGGGATTAAAAGTATCTCCCAAAGTGCACGGTTTATTTTTTTCCTCGTCGGGTATTTCCATCACTGCGACCATTTTTCTGATCTATTGTGATATATTCCCCATTTTTTTTTTCTTTAGCTATATATAGATGCCGTATCACTATTATTAGGAGTGATCGCCATCGCTTGACTAATAGCATTATCCCAGCACGGCATTATACTTCGAATAAAGTGCACTGCTGTACTGGGAGTTGTTCCCCAAATGTCAAAGGGTTTTATCAGCCCCTTGCCGAAGAACTTACGCCTTTTATTGAAAATTGCCGGACAGTGACATAGCAAATGTTCCGAGTTTTCTTTTTCTATGCCACAGAAGCGACATACATCATCTTGAAGTTTTCCAATCAGCTTCAAGTGATAACGGCTCGGACAATGACCTGTTATAAGACCTGCATATATACTAAGATCTTTCTTAGAAAGTTTCAGGATTTTGTGGGTCACAGAAATGTTTGGATTAATGAATCGCTTCGAATGCCTAGCAATAGAAGTGTTCTTCCAGTTTTCCTCCACTTTTGAAGATTCCTACGCTTTTAGCCCCATTCTAAGAGATGCAGCCGATAAGCCACAAAAGGGCTCTGGCCCGATGAACTTATGAGAAGATCCGAGTCTTGCTAGTGCATCAGCTCTTTCATTTCCCTCAATCCCACAATGACCAGGAACCTTCATTATGACAAGACAATTTTTGAAGTGATTTAACACACTCCCAGACAAGCTTTGATGTACATGTCGCCAACTTTAATGCATTTAGAGCAGCTTGACTGTCGGACATGACGCATATATTTGAACTCTTATAGTTTCTACGCAAACAGTGGAACACTCTAAAATTGCTTGGATTTCAGCTTAGAACACAGTTGGCCATCTGCCCATAGGAACCATATTTCTATCCCTGGGCCAGTTACTCCTGCTTCCACTTGATTGTTCAATCTTGAACCATCTGTTTAAAAAACAATCGATCCTGGACAAAGAACTGGGCCACCAAATTACCATGAATTACGCCCAGGGTCAACTACTTGAAAAAGTCGATTGAAATTGTATCTTTTCTCCATCCAGTCTTCGTTGTTCCTTACAAGAGAGTTGATACTAACAGTTTTTAGAATCCTAAGATGTCCTCTAAGGTCTCCTTCAAAGAGTTTCACTGACCTTGTAATCCTTAGAGCACACCTTTCGGCTTCTAATTGTACAAATTGATGCAATGGTAGTATATAAAGCAAAGCATCCAATGCCTTCGATGGTGTACTTCTCATTGCACCTGTTATTGAGAGAGTGGCTAACCGGTGGAGTTTTTCTAACTTTCTCTGAGCAACACAGATATTCGGTGAAAAATTACAGGTAATCTGTGAAAAATCACCGAACTGTTTACCGAACGTTCAGCTGTTGAGATTTCGGTGAAATAATCTTAGTGTGTAGGATATTATAAAATCGCAACTTACATAAAACCAATATTACTCAATCAAAACCGCCCGTGCACGTTATATTTTCAATTCTTACAGAAATCAACTATAAAAATAGAATAAATCAAATTAGCTTTGGGAATGTTACTTGGGTATTGCCTGCTAAACAGTTGATTGAGCATTTTCATAAGACATTACTGACTTGATTCGTTAATAACTTTTGTTCTTTATGAAGTAATGAAATTGGGTTGTTAGCGGAATGCTTAAATAAATAGGGTTGTCTTTCATTTAATTCCACATTAATAATTTTGGTATCCATGACAGATACGTATTTCAGATACAATGTGCAGTCTTCATCAGTGTCATACCCACTAAAGACTTATTATTTAAGTGGAATTAAATGGAAGATAACCCTCTTTTGCAGTTTTATTTTGTTTACTTTTAATCTAAATGTGAGCTTGAACAATGTTGTAGCTGAAAAAATTCATACAAGTGAAAAACAAAGTGATGTGGTGAATTTTGAGATAGATATGAACTTAAAAATGTGTTTTCCTATAGTAATTTCCATATCAAGTTCATAATTTTTGTGTCAAGTCAGTTTATTAATAAATTAATTTTAGTTTTGGGAGGCTAATCAGAACCCAATTAGGATTTGTTTGAGCACCGTGAAGCGAAAATTTCAAAATTTGCATCAGTCTAATGGGCATGTACCACTTTTCCTCGCAACGCAAGAGCCATTGTGTTAAGTACCAAAAATAAATTGTTCATAACAGTTACTAGTTGATGCCCTGTATGCAAAATAAAAATCAAAATTAATAAAAATGGATTATGTGCCACATTCGCTCGCAACGGTTCAATTGAACCAATAGTTTACCTTTTATTAATTGTATTTGACCTGTGTGTGCATTATGCGTGAATGTATGGTATTTTGATTTTTTTTTTTATTAAAAAAATGTTCAGCGTTTTCTTAATATCATCCGGTAATCCTTACATACTGTTTATAACACTCCTTAACCTACGAAATGGCGATCATGAGTTCACATACAACACGAACAACAAATAATGGAACCGTTAGGGAGCACCTAGATCTAGCCACAGTATGCCCAATAGGTAGTAAACCTTGAGGGCACTCTCAACTTGCTCTCTCCTGGTCCTATATTTAGCGACAAACAAGGAGACACACGTCCGTCGTTAAAGTCGTGTTGGAGATCGTTGCACTCATGATGCACCCATGCTCTTGTAAGTTTTCCATCGGCTGCAGATGTGGATTCGTTCAATTAATACGAAAATTTCCACATTCAATGCTCGTTTGCAGATGATGATTGAGATGATTGAAGAATTTGTCCATTACCGTGCGAACGTTGACGGGATCGGATCAATCACGGTGAACAAGTGTTCCCTTATGGAGCAGTGGAAGGAAATTCCCCTCAGACATGAAATATTACTCTGACACAGTTGTGGTTCGTCGTGACTGATATAAACCTAAAAACCTCCCAGGCAATTTCGGAAAACGTCAATCTTCGCCTCGTCTTTCACGTGTCACTGCTGCGGAACATGGTAAACACGGTTTGATTTGTGGCGGAAGTGCAAAATAGCACGTGTGTGACTACGATGGCACTCAAAAAAAAAATGGTGAAAATGAATCATGCTCTTGTGTGGTATAGATACGAGCAGCTAATGGTCAAAGCCCCAAGAACATGGAATTGGGACGCTACTGATGGAAACAAAACAATGACAGTATTTTTCTTAGTCACTCAAATGTGACGACAAGAAACCTTTTTTGATCGTGCTTATTGTTTTCAGCTGCATATGAAAATGGAGCATGACATGAAATACTATTCTCATTTACCTTTTGTAGTGAATAAAACACCCTATGCTTTTAAAATCTAATAATTTAGTTACCTAATTTTGTAGCAAGACTTAAATCAAGATCATAACTCACAAGCTACAAAAAAAGAAGCCCTTACACATGTTGCAAGTAAGTTGACGACGATGACTCCGGTAGCGACAGAGCAGACAGTGAAGGGATAAGAATCTACGGAGATTCTCCCGCCGCGTGCGCGCAGCACGTTTATGAAAGATTAGTGAACACACATAATCACGTTGTTTGTTTATGCTGTGCTCTGAGCACCATCAACGAATGCAAACCAGTAGGTGTGGCTGACTGGCGAAAACAAACGGAAGGCGGCTACTCAAGAAAAGAAGAACAAGAGTGTTGTGACCAGAATGCGACAGTGGGTGATTAAGGTCGTGGATTGATCGGTAAACAGAGAATTTTTCTTGCTTCGTGCGACAGTCTAGCCCCATTCCGAGATGACAAATGATCGGAGCTTATGTGGGTTTTAATTGATTTATATTCGTGTCTGTGTGATTCCAGTGGCAGCATTGTTCCGTCAAGTGTGATCGGGGAAAAGTATGACGAGAACGATAAAATGCAAACGGAAACCACGAGATGATTACAGTTCAGTGCAATTGGACGGTGAAGTGTGGAAGAAAAGTGAAATTAACCGTTGCGGGCGGAAGATAATCGCAGAATAAGTATAGTTAACTCAATTGACACGCCAAAGATCATCATAACCAAAGATGGATAAATTTAATGGACGACTCTGGGCGATCATCACGCTCGGTTTGTTTCTCACAGTCATCGATGCCGTTAAGGGTAAGTGTGTTTCGTTTATTATATTAGAGAGGGTCTTTAGAGGTGAATTTGTACCAGAATTTACACCGGCTTTGAACATGAAACATCTATTTGAATATTAATGAAGCTCATTTGTTGTCTATTTGAGAGAGATTATCTCACCAAATCACTGCTGGAGTTAATCTGTTAGTTTCTTTTATAATATGGTCAGTTTAACACTCTTGCGTCATTTGTGTCTTGTCGATGATATTTGAAATCGTAACTTTGTCGTGAGAGGTATGAATGTTAACCACTACGCCGCATAGTGGCCAGAGCCTGAACAAAACTTCTTTTTTTTTCCTTGATATGTTTTCCGTCGATCTTGTTTTGCGTGCTGAACACCAATGCTACCGACGCGCCAGGAAGGTAGCTCCCACACCTGGACCCTACCATTGACCCATCAACTCTTGAACCGGGGACCAATGGCTTTACTTCCCTTCCGAAGGAAGCCGTTAATCAGAGATGTTATGCCTCAGAACATCCCGGCAGCACCGACTGGGATTGAACCCAGGCCTGCTACACAACTTTTGATAATTATCTTTTTATTTCTGTTATTTACATTTTGTATAGGTTTCCCACACATTGAATAACGTTTTTTTTATTTTGTGATTATTGGATAAGATTTAGATTTTTGACAACACTTCGAAAGTTTGAAAGTTTTTGATGGCAAACATACTTTTGAATATACAAACCAATAAAACTTACCAAACACCCAAATGATCCGAAAAACCCAGATGAAAAATCCCTAGAAATGTGTAAATTATCCGTAAAAAATATAAGTATGATCCATTTTGATTATGATTATGTATGATTATGTAAAATTTAGCAACACAATTGTAAAAAATGTACTGCTAAATTTCTAAAGAATGGTCATTGAAATTGTACGAATTATCCATAAAATATTGCAAATGATCCATAAAACATTCAGCAATGAAACTTAAACTGAAGAAAGTGATCCATAGAAAACCAAGTTTGCGCACTTAGGCATGATCCATAAATTAAACGTATGTACATTATTAGTTTTTATAATTCTATTTTTTTTTAATTTGATCCATAAATCTTGGAAAATTTCTGCGTAGCTACTTAGATATACTGTCCTGCTCATGTCTTTTTTAAGTAGTGGTGCGGAGCGACGGGCAAGCTTCTAGAATTAGCTTCAAAAAGAAGCTTCTATAATAATCCGCAGATTCCTTTGGATCTTTTAGAAGCTTGTTTTACAATCTTCCTAAGAAGCTTATACTAACTTAACGACTAACTTATATGCATTCCCTTAAAATACATATAAGTTAGTCGGTAAAAAAATGGGTTTGTACAAGCACACATTTAATTTTTTTTTTTTTTTATTTGTTTTCAGCACATCAAAATATATTCAAGTGTATATCAAACAATTTGAAGACATATGGTAACAAAACTGCTGAAATATTCTTATTGGAAGTTAGTTATTTTTGTATTTCTTTAGAACATGACATTTTTAATCCAGCTTGGTCATACACACGAAATACATCTTGTGAGTCTTTACCTCAAATTTCATAGTTGAAGATGCTTATTTCAAATAACAGACTAAAGTAGTAATTTTTATACGATAGATGGAGGAGATGAAAGTCTAGAGTTGATATAGTTCCGTTAGAGTACGGCAGTGTGAACATTGCATATAGATAGAAGATAGCGAGCTAGGACAACTTTTAAGGAAGGTACAAATCGGTTTTTTTCATCTCTCTTTACCAAACTCCCCCTTTGGAGAGGGATGGTGAGGGGTGTCTATCCTATAAAAATTACCACTTTAGTCTGTTATTTGATAGCATCTTCAACTATGTAAATCGTTGACTTCACGCAGAAGTAATACTAAACATATAGTCAAAGTACATAACTCTGGATGGGAGCATACCATCAATTACTGTCATTGGTCGAAAGGTACAGTAGCAGCATCTACCCCACCCGTGTCCTCTCGAGATCGTCAAGTCGACGATGACAGGTGCACATACCGTGGTAGGGGTAAAAAATAGCTGCAATTTCAAAACCTACGACTGGATGCCTTCCTTCAAATAACAACTGAAGTGCGGTAAAAATCGGTAGAACTGTTTCAAACACATATTTGGTAATTGAGCGGGTCGGCGTTCATCTCTTTTTGCCAGTGGTGGCGGGGGGCACCCCTCACCATCCCTCCCTAAGGGGGGAGTTAGGTAAAGAGAGATGAAAAAAATCGATTTGTACCTTCCTTAAAAGTTGTCCTAGCTCGCTATCTACTATCTATATGCAATTTTCACACTGCCGTACTCTAACGGAACTATCAACTCTAGACTTTCATCGCCTCTATCTATCGTTTAAAAATTAGCACTTTAGTCTGTTATTTGAAATAAGCATCTTCAACTAGGGGAATTTACGTATTCTCGGCAACCTAAGCAGCGACCTTCTTTCTATAGCCTTTTTCTCTAAGGAACGCACACATATGCAGTATTGGTTTGTTTACAATCTTTTGCTGCCAGCTGGTCTAACAATTTCAGTCGAAAGAATTGTCAAAAACTGTTTTGAAACGCTTTTACAAAACTCCAATCTTCTCTAGTGAGAGCGAGTATTGTCGGCAACCAGTTTTTCTTCGGCAACCGTTCCATTTGAACTGCATGTAAATCTGCTGTTCTATTATCGGCAACTCGAAATCAGCTACAATTTGTAGTGCGTGTGTTGCATTTCAAGAAAACCTTGCTAGATTGCTTTTTCTCAGTGGTAAAATTATAGTCAAATTGAAGCTGAAAGCATAAAGAATCGATTGCATGCATTCAACGAAGTGTTTTCGTAAGAAAATCCAGTGAAAATAGTGTTTCAATTTGGGTTGCCGAAAATAGTCTTTCATGCCGAAGCCGTCATTTCCCCTATGTAAATCATTGACTTCACGTAGAAGTAATACTAAACATATAGTCAAAGCTCAAATTTTAGCCAATTTGGTCCATTCAGTTCTGAGATATCGTGGGACCCGTAAATCAATGCCGATTACCTTTATGTCAATCCATATTTAGAACTCAATTATTTACAAACAGCAACATCGTCACAGCGAAGCAAAAATTCGTTATATCTAGACCAAAAATTGAAATAGGCGGTACAGCAAAACGTAAACAATGGCTTTACACACAAAATTCTCGAGAATCAAAACACTCCCACACAGCAAAAAATTCTGAATTTTAATTGTTATGTAAACATTTATACACGTAAACTTGTGTTTCATTAAACGCAAACGAGCAATTTGTATACAATGTTGTTTACAAAGATGGGCTTTTGTATACAATATGTGCAACATTTCATGAAATGTCTCTGAACTTTACACGATTTATAATGTAAACTTATATGATATTTGACTAATAAAGCCATTCGATAAAGGAAGTTTGTGCTATCAGATGATGGTGTTAGATTTCTTGGATGTGCATTGAGTTTCGAGAAATTTGCGTTTAAAGCCATTGTTTACGTTAGGTTGTTCCGTTGCCGTTGACCAACATCTAGCGCGTATGGCACAATTAAATATGCGGTTGCAATGTGTAGTATTGAATGAAAGGTATTGGGTCATTGCTTAAATTGGTAACCGCGTGACACTAAGCAGTCGGTAACGCCACTGAATATAAAACTATGATCTATTCAATTTTAAGCAATCTAAGTAATCAGTATGTGAAACACATTTTGATGCGTTTAATTAAGAAAAAAACGTAAGCATAATCGCAGGTGGTCGGCAGTGTAGAAGAGATCTTCCAACGAACTCACTATGGCGATTTCTGCTAAACTGTGGGTATCGGACAGGAGTTATGATCTGCGAAGTCACATATACCGGTTACAGTATTGACCAGAATTTGTCTGCCTCTGCACACATCAGCCTTATCGGTAAATCATTTTAATTTTGCCGTAATTCCAAATCTTTCTCATGCCTTTCTCTCTGTGCTATAAGACCACTGAAAAAGAGCGTGGGTTTCAAAGTGTAGTATAAAATATTTTCAGAAAGGGAGCCTGCATTACTAATCCAAGGAAATACTAGCAGTGCATTTGCACTGCAAATTTTTCTCTGGATCTACATAGGGTGTAAATAAATAAAATGTCTTAAGAAACAAGATTCACAATATAAGACATTGGGGTGGGAGGGGGGTTTTATCCCAGCATATTGAGGTTCATAGCTCCAAAACTAAAGTCACAATTTAAAATCTCATAAATTACGAATGATCCAAGACTGTTAAAGTGACTATAATAAAACAAAAAATGGGTTGTTTTTACAGGTTCTATATCCATTTGTCAATAAAAAATAGCGTGATTCGCTTTCGCGATGGATGTACATTACAGTATCTTCCCGTTTTTGGTAACGCATAATTTTCGAATTTTTTTACTTTTTTAGAAAATCCGTCTTATGTTAAATTCGTATTATGATTTCACTTGACCATTCTTTGTGGATCCTTTCTTGTGCAACATATGGGAATCTGTGGTGTCTGGGCAGAAATGTCTCCGAATTTGTTGCTTACAGATAGAGTTCATAGTTTTGTGTACGAAAATAAATTTAAAAAAAATCGGGGTTTTTAATTTTCCCGAAAGTTTTCGTTGAAGTTCACGTACATTGAAAATTCATGACTAATGATCCAATAATCGTAGAATGAATGTTATGTAAAAATATAGATAAGTTATGTCAGCAATCCATAAAAGAGTGGCGCCGATGGTGTAGTGGTAAGCGTGATTACCTCTCACCCCAGCAGGCCTGGGTTCAATCCCAGTCGGCGCCGCCGGAATGCTCTGATCACGCCTTCCTTCGGAAGGGAAGTAATGCCGTTGGTCCCCGGTTCATGAGTTGATGGGTCGATAGGTAGGGTCCAGGAGTGGGAGCTGCCTCTCTGGCGTCGGTAGCATTGGTGCTCAGCACGGAAAACAAGATCGACAGAAAACAAATCAAAGAAAAACAAAAAACAATCCATAAAAAAATATAATAAAAAAAAAATCAACGAAAATTTTCATAGTATATGAAA